CACAGGTTTCTTCCTTAATAGGCCAAGTGGCTTGGGGCCAGAGGTGCTTCCGAACTCTGAATGGACCAATCCTTTACCACAAGTCATTCTTATGTTCACCACTTTTCTCACTACTCTAGTTTTGTTACTGTCGTATCACTCTCCCAATCAAGTACTCCAACTGCTGGGGATGTTGGTGCTGCCCCGGTCACCCCTAATAGAGGACTAACATGCACAACCTTTCGTATAACAGAACCTTCCATGACCTGTCATACGTAGTGCCACTACTCCACAATTAGACCTCCTTCTAGGAATTTCCTTTTTCAGTTTTGTACTTGCACTTGGACTTAACCACAGGGCTCCACATTCAATTATGGCTCCCTATTGGGTTACAGAAGCTAAAAATCCTAAGATTTTGCCTCCAGCCTAACTTGAACCGTCGACCTAGTCTGTGGGGGTTTGGCAGCTTAACTACTAAGCTATAGGCTTAATTTCAATATTTGTATTTTATTAGTTATTAGTTATTATTATATTTATCTTAGAGAAGAATTTAAAAAGACATGTATAAAGATTAGCTTTAACTATTAACACTTAGCAATTTATGATTAGCGATTATGCTTAGCAATTACTCTTAGGGTTAGTGATTATGCTTAGCAATTAGTGATTCCGCTTAGCAATTAGTGATTAGCGATTAACGCTTAACGCTTAACGCTTAACGATTAGCAATTTTAATTTGCGCTTAGCATTAAGTAAACTACGATTAGCTATTACAATTAGCGCTTAGCATTAAGTAAACTACGCTTAGCTGCAACAATTAGCGATTAGCTCTAAAGATATAAAAAAGCTGTAAATTTCTCCAAGTTAACATTAGATCTAGAAGACCTGCAAAGACCTGCAAAGACCTAGAAGACCTGTAGACCAAGAATAACAACAGACTTGTTATTGTCCACTTCACTCTCTCTTCCCTAAATTCTCTCTTATAATATTATAGGATTCTTTAGGAATAGAAACTTAAGGATAGTCTATCTTATTTATTTTTAATAAACATATATTTTATCTATAAACTATTATCTGCCCAAACTGCTACAGACAGAAGGGTATAGTTTCTCCAAGAAGCAAAAATTATACTTACCTATTGGACACCGCTATAAACCTGTGAAAGATCCCTGTAGCCATATCATTGTTATAGTACTGCTGTTAAGAAAGCCACGGTACTGTAACAATACCTTTACAGCGTTTAAGCTATATTTGTTTGTAGATGTTATTTGATATTTTATACAGCACTTTGATAAATGGATTGTTTGAAGTTGAAGTGATTGACCTAATATTTTCTGAAATTAGCCCTTGTAGTAGTAGAATGTTAGGTATATTTGTATCATTAGTGAAGAAGATTTGTGCTAATGCTGTTGGATCTGACAGGTGAGTATCCTTTTTTGTGCATTGTTTTGTCACTGTTTGTATTATCACTTGATGCAGTGATATTAGATTACCTAGGCAAATCAGCCAGTGGATATTGTCCTCAGTTGTCTGAGTGCATCTGTTGCAGGTTGGGTTTGTATATTTTTTCGGGTGTCGATTATATAGGTTGAGCAGTGTTGATAGCTCATCTAGTAGAAATTTAATTTTAAAATTCTTCTTTAGTAATAGTTTGGGGTGTATAAATCTTGTATACGGTTTATTGTTGAAGTTGATAAATTGGTGGATGCTATTTCAGTTCATATTTGATCATATATCTTGCTAGCTACTTGTTCTGTTGAGAGAGTATCATTAAGCAGTGTTTCTTGCATTTTGTAGATGTTGAATAAAATGATGAGTTTTATATTCTACTAGTATATTGTTTCATATAAGATAATAGTTGTTGTTGTCTAATGTAAATAGCACTAATTTAATTTTGTGCAGCTATAACAAAGTTGCTAGTTTCATAGTTTTTTGAAAGAGTGGGTGGTTTGCTCTGTGATCTATATAGGTGAACTTGATGGTTAAGTGTTTTCGAGCAATGATAGTTTGAATAAGCTGCTTAAAAGGCCAGTAATAGTGTTTTTGGATAAGAAGGTTGAGATTATTTGAGTATTGTATAACTGAATTAACATGATTTATAGTTGGCTTGTGAGGTGTAAGTATGTTGATCTTGCTATTGAGGGAGGCAATTGAGAGAATTGATATAACTCCAATTAGATTTGCTCTAGTAGTAGATGGCCAGTGTATTATTGTTGCTGAAAAAGAGATATTAGTTGGTAAAAGTGTCTAAGTGAAGTTTGTCTGACTATTAAAAGTATTTAAATGTGATATATTAGCATATAGATATATCTGAAGATTTTTTTGTTTGAGAGTTAATTTGGCTAAGATGAGAGAGATGAGATAAGGCAGTATTTGTGATAAATAGTTGGTCTAATAAGTTATTAGAGGTAGTTGAGACAGATACTATATTGTTCTTAATTGGTTAGTATATTTGTTTTTTCTAGATAGATTAAGCTTGAGATAGTGTTGTAACAGGTCGTCAATATCTGTACAGAGTTGTTTTATACTAGTCACCTTAATGGTGATGCATTGGATAGTTGAGAGAATAATAGTATAGTGTTGATGTGTGTTTATAGTGTGTGTGTAAGTGCATGATTTGCATTTAGTTAATAATGTGTTATTAGTATTTGCAGTTAGTGAAGATACTAGCCAATGTATAATTTGTATTTGATTATTTGGCATGTTTGTTTTTATTATATAACCTATTATAACTTGGTTGTTGAGTTTACAAAGTATCCATAACCCATGGGTAGGTACTATATTGTTTATTGTAAATGGGTTTGGATTGATCATTGGAATAAAAGATGTTGCTGGGTCCTGAAGTATATTTGTAGAGTAAGAAACCATTTAGGTGTACATCTTGTTATTGTTTTATTTATCTTATATGGCATGTGTTGCCATTGAAGAAAATATGTATTGGTATGGTTAGTAAGCTGTTTTATAGCATAAATTTTTGCTTTGTTGGTGTATGTCTTAATATAGTGTGGTTTTTTGGAATATTGGATTAGCATACACAGATCAAAATAAAGTATATTAGGGTCATATTGGCATTTTTCAATCCTAATATAAGTCTGATATTAAACTGAAGTTTGGCAGAAATCGGATACCAATAGGAGACCAATCGGAGTTATATAAATATAAATACATATCGGTTAAACCGATAGCTCTATAGATATATCGATATAGCTATCAGATATAACGTCGATAGCTATATCGATATTTCTATAGAGCTATCAGTTTAACCAATATGTATTTATACCGATATAACCCCGATTGGTCTCCTATTGATATCTGATTTCTGCTAAACTTCGGTTTAATATCGGACTCATATCAGAATTGAAAAATGCTGATATGACTCCAATATACTTTATTTTGACCTGTGATATCAATAGGTGTCCCAGGATGTGTTATACATATCGGCCAAGGATTGGAAGAGTTAGGAATATAAATATTAAGCTTGTGTGCTGCATATATAGTTTGTGCTGTAAGTGTGTTGTGATATATGGTAGGTAGGATAAACTGTGGTGATTTAAAAATGTTTATTGATAAATGAGTAGCATTTTGAAGGTGTTGTAAATATATTTTTATTGGTTTTGCTGTAATAGGATTGTTAAGTTGGTTGTGTAAGGCTGATATATGATTTTGTATTTGTATATCTTGTAGTTGTCTGAGGTCATAGATTTGGTGATGAAATATAGTTGAGCTAGGGATAGTTGTTGCTAGCCCTACTTTATGTTTAACAACCTGAGTATATTGATTAGTTATAGTGCAATTACTAGTTTCTAAAATAAATATGTTAAGTATTCAATATGAAAAACATAATATAAGTACAGTGTTGATTATATAGATTGCCTGTTTTTCTGTAACTTTCTTCTTTTTTAAGGTGTTGATTAAATTAGTAGCTTTCTGAGTGATTTGTTTGTGAATTTGCTTATGGTTACTAGATACTGTGAACTAGCAGCCCAGATATCTGAAGTTTTCTGTTGGTAGTATACTAGAAATATTTGTGTCTACAAAAGTAATTGAGAGGTTGGGGTCTGTACTGCAGTTTGTGGCTGGAACTGATTTAGTAGGATTAACAGTGATGTGTGCCATATTGTAGAAGGAGAAGGCACGGTTGACAATTTGTTAAAGTGTCTCTTTATTAGGTGCTAGCCATAAGGTGTCATCCATATAGGCTAGAACAGAGGTATAATATGTAATTGGATAATAGCGTGGAGGTTGTGTAGTCATTATATAGCCTTAGAATTCAGAATATATTGTAGTAATAAGAGAATCATAGTAGGAATCTTACCCGGGTCACGGGTTAAATTTTGATCTAACCTGGGTCAAACGGGTCAGAACCTAGATTAACGAATTTTGATCAAATCGGGCAAAATTTATTAATTCAACATCGATTTATATACTTTACGTACCCAATAAATATTTAAATGTTAAAAACAAATGATTTACATATTTATCCGATTTCAATTGCCACAGAAATAATCGTTAGATCATTACTTATATATAAAATGTTTATTGTTTATTGTCCTTTGAATAAGAGAATTTTAGATATAAAATATTTAATAGATCTCTAATTCAATCAATCACGCTTTTTTTTCGCTTAATAATAAAATTTTTACAACATAATAATTATGTTTTTTTGGTTAATGTATATTAGGTTAAATTTTTTAACCCTTCCAGCAATTTTATTTAAACCTCTGGGTGATTTTAAACCTCTAGGAAATTTTAAACCTCCAGCCAATTTTAAACCTCCAAATGATTTCAAACCTCTAGGCAATTTCTATTATACGATAAGTTGCTTCTTTACTTCTTAGTGCGAATTCAACATTTGGTTCAATTTCTAATACTGTAATATATTTAAACCAATGATTAATCAAGAATTTTAACTCAAAAATTTTTTTATTACCTATTCAAAAATATAGAAAGCTGGCCAAAGTTTTAAAGCTGCCTTAAGAAACAAGATTGACTCAACAAATTAAGGATCAAGACGTGTACGATTGTCAGTAATAGTAAGGCCTGCAGATGATAAAAGGCGTTCAATGGCACTGATGTTGCCAGAATGGTTAAGAACTTGTGAGCAAGCTGTGCAAGTATTGGATAATCATTTTTTCGTAATGCCCACCACTGAAGTATGTCCGTTTCACTTGTTGCCTTAGGCAATAAAAGATATGAATTAAACTCACGGTTGATACTATCCTGATAGCTTGATTGTTCTTGAGAACTGGTGTCTGTTGGGAGAGCAAAAGTATCCTCATCATTTATTTTGTCACAAGATAGTGTTAAATCTATTTGATTTTCTGTATCTGATGAAGTGTCTAATTTATAAGAGTTAGAAATTAATTCAAATTCAACACATGCTTCTAAAATAGTACAACTTCTTTCATCTTCAGTAAATATTGGCATGTCTTTGGTTCGTGGGTCAAAAAATGCAGCAAGCCGAATTGGTTTTGATGGTTCTAAAAATCGTGTCTAAAAAAAGCATAAAAAAAAATAAAAAAAAAGATTAATAAAAAATAACAATAAAAAAAGAGAAATTTTATTTTTAACCAAGTTAAAGTCACCTGAAATATTACTAATACTAATAATTTTAATTATGTAAATGATATAGTTTATTGGGTGACGTTAACTTGAGTGAAAATCGAATTTCTCAAAAAAAATTTAAAAATAAAAAAAATTATGCCTAAATTGATTTATAAAGAGAGTTTCTAAACTTTTGAATATTAGTATCGTTTGTTATAGCACAATTAAGCTTTACCTTAATAAAATTAATTGCAAATCACGCTTGTGAAAGTGTTAGATATTGCGAACCAGATAATTTTTTAGAAACAATTTCATAAGGATGCAACAATTTCACTAATTCGGTTACTTTATCCCAATCATTAGATAATAATTCTTTTTCTTCATAATTTTTTAACAAATTATTGTCATTAGCTTCAACTAAAAGTAACTTATACTTATACATGACAGGTTTAAGAATAGTTAACCGCTTTAATAGATAGAACGTCGAATTCCATCTTGTAAAAACGTCACGAATTACAGTAAGGAGTTTATTCTAATCTTCCATTTTCATTTGTGCTTCCAAGAGAAATTGCTTTGTTTTGAACTGCCACTAAAATGTGATACTATATTCTTATATTTTTTTATTAAAGTTGTAATCTCGGAACATTCTTTTAATGCATCGTTAATTGCAAGTTGCAAAGTATACTCAAAACAAAAAGCCTTCTATATACCATATTTTCGTTCTAATTTCTCTAAACATGATTTAATATTTGACCTGTTGTCAACCGTACCACAAACAGTTATATTCTTAAGGTTAAGACTATCTAAAATTTTGACTATTTTATTTAGAAGACAGTCGGCAGTATGAGGATATGAAAAGTATGAAATGTTGCCAATTATTTCCTTTATTTGAAAATTATCATTTATCCAGTATAGTGTAAGTCCAATATATGGATCACCATTATCTGAGGTCCACATATCCGTAGTAAACGAGACACTACTAATTTCAGTATTGTTAATTGCATATTCATGAACATTTTTTAAAATTTTATCTTTACTATTTATAAAAAGTTTCTTTAAGCGATCTATACTTAGTACGTTGGCTTGGACATCAAGTTCCTCTATAATTTTTTTGAATGCCTGTGATTGAAGAACTGAAAATGGTTAAAGATCCTTAACAATAAAGGCAGTAATATTGCTATCAAGTTTCTTCTGTTTGGGATGATTAAAGGGATATTTTTTTATTTTATTAAACACTTGTATGATTGTTGGTTGTGAGGATTCAGATATTACGGAAAATTCACATTTATCATTATCTTTTGTTATGATTTTTACTCTGCCACTTTCTATCATAGCTTTCAAAATATGGTGTTTACCTCTCATATGTCGCCATAAGTTCGAAGTAGAACCATCCTTTATGTATTTTACTTTACAAACTTTATGGCGGCAAGCCCAAAATTCGGTATTATCAATTGACTCAGTTTTGAAAAAAAGTTTAACAGAGCTACCGTCTGGTCTTTCTTTTTTTTTTTTTTGTCTTTTAACCAAATTGTTCTTGCTAGTTTGTGATGTAGAAGGCTGTGGTGAAGCTTCATTGCTGCTTAAACTCTCTGTACTACTGAATTCTGACCCTCCTATATTAGTATCGTCTAACACCATATTATCCAAATATTCATTGCTCATGATTTAATTGTTTGTTAATTCAAAGTCTGCAACTGATTTATAAAATTCAGGTTCAACTTATAGTAGTCAGTGCTGAATAATTGGATTTTATCCAAATTTCAGTGGTGATCTAATAAAAAAGACCTTTTTTTAAATAACAAATTTATAAGCTAAGACAATCGTTTATAAAAATTGTTAGCAGATCATAATACCTGACAAAAAAATTGAAGTGAAAGATGTCTTGAAGTTTTGTTTCAAAACACATTATTAAAAGAATAATAAAATTGAACAAACGATTACATTGACGTAAAACAAGATTCATCACCACTTATTTCTTGTTTTTAGCGAGTAATAACAATGAAATGTAGGCGTTCAAGTCATAACGATTCACTTAATATAATGAAAATGATAATTTGAACCTTATTTAAGGGCCGTTTTATCAATTTTATATAAGGGTGATTTTAAAATTTATTACCGTATAATGATCTGCTGTTTTTTCTCTCAAAACGTATCAAATGAATTATAAAAATTGGATATATGATTATATCAATATTGCATAAAATAAGATTCTTGCCGCTTATTTCTTGCTTTTAACAAGTAATAACCATTTATATAATAATTGTATTACTAATTTGAACTTTATTTTAGGGCAATTTTAAGTAAAGGTTGTTATACGGCAATAAACTTTAAAATTACCCACCTGATCAGCTAACTCGGGTTATAATTCGGGTCAACATTTCATTATCCGGGTTTGACCCGGGTCACGATTTTCTGACCTGGGTAATATCCCTAAATCATAGTAAATGCGCTATAGGAGTGGTATAATAGTTTTGCCTTAGTCAATCCCATCATATACTAGATAGGGTTGGGTTGGGCCAAAGTTTGTTATAACAGAATTTTGATGATTGGTAAGTATGTTGATGAGTAATTGTTGTATATTGTTAGGAATATGTAGCTGGTTTAGTGCAGATTGCAAAAGAGATATATGTACAGAGTCATATGCCTTATTCATATTCTGTGAAAGGAGCTAAATCTCTTTATTTTGAGTCTGCACTTCTTGTAGGATATTTGTAAGAATATGAATTGGTTGTGTTGTAGATATATGTAGAGTTGCTATGAAGTTATTTGGGTGAAGTATGGGGTATTGTGTCATGATTTGGCTAAGCCAATTTGTGATAATCTTAGTAAAGATTTTATGTGTATGCTCAATTAATGTTATGGGTCTTGTGGGTTTAGTTGGCTTATGAATATAGGTTTTTTAGATATAGGATATATTTTACTATATTTCCATATTTTAGATATACTAGAAGTCTCTAAGCATTTGTTAAATAAAATTGTCAGTAGTTTAGTGATATGAGGATGAATATATTTAAGTATTTTGTTTGAAATTAGAGATGGTCTTGTAGCCTTGTTGTTAGGAGATTGATTTATCGTTTGGGTCACTTCCTCTATAAAAATGGGTTGTGCTAGTGTATCATACTAAGATGTATTTATATATTGTTAGGATATATATTTCTGTTTCTATTGTTCCCAAAGTATAGGATCATTTGGGTTGTGTTTTGTCCAGTTTTTAAAGTGGCTTCGTATATGATTTTGGATCTCATAGAGATCTGTAATGATAGTATTTGGTAGTTTGATATTTTGAAATGTTACTGTATCAGTATGTCTATCAAGGATGCTATTGATCATAGTTGTTGTGTGAGATGTAAAGTTGTTATATTATTTCTCAATATATTGAATGATGTGTTGTGATAGAGCTTGTTGATTTTCTGTTTCCCTTGTATGATATAAGGTTTTTTAGTGCATCTTCATTATATTAATAGTTTGAGTAATATTACTTGTGTTGATATCTTGAATAGATAGACCTGTAATAGAAAGATTAGATAGCTGTTATATATTATTAATTTTTTAGTTAATGATTTGAAGCATGTTGCTGTGATTCTGTAGATAGTTATTGGGGTCTTTGTATAGTGTCACTAAGGTGTGAAGTATATTGTTGCATACTTTAGTGCTGTATGTATCTTTGTTGCTGTAGGTAAAAAGATGTTATACTGTTTATGTAAACATCTTGAAGATGATATGTATGCTTTTGCTGCTTTGTTAATTGCTGTACTAATTTGGTGCTAGAGTTGATCCACTAAGAGTGTATATGCTATAGTTTTAGTAATCTGTAATGTAATATGTTGAGTAGCTTGTTGACATTGGTCCCACAATTCTGGGGTCATATTATCATATTTATAAGTTTTGAACTTATGTTTTTTGTGGCATTTGGGGGGTTGACATATAATTGTAAATTGGTAAATATAATACAGTAATCACTATGTGTGACCTAGTGTAAATTTATTATATTTTTATTATGTTTATGTATAATATAAGGGATAAATTTTGGATCATTATTGTTATGATTAAATTATTTTTATATACTCATTTAATACCAATTCTACGAATCTGCTGATATGAACTTTTAAAGTACTTTCAACCATAAAATAAATTTACTAATTAGATTAAATACCTTTCAACCATGGATCTCTATCATTTTCTCGACAAACAAAATCCTAACAAGAATTAACCAGAACTAACACCAACCCTTATCTAATGCAGGCTAACTTGTCAGAATTTTGATATTGTCAGAAAAGTGGTTGTTCAGAAATGATAAGATCCCTTTTAACCATTATATATTCGATGTCTGTAAAGTTGTACAGTGCCCTCAAAAAATATATCACAGTTACATGAAAAAACAATATAAATTTTCTAAATATGTAAATTTATTGCTTAGCAAATTAATAATAAATATCGATATACCAATTCAGCAATATATCATAACAATACATATGATGAAGATAATGCATCAGTATTTGCAACCATAACCTCCATTAGAAATAACTTCAGCAGTATGATTTGAAATACTGTTGATTAAATTCATGAAATTGATGCATCTAGCCTTTCTTATTCCTCTAAAAGCATTGTCTTCAATTTTTCATATGTTCTTGGGTGTGGTCCACGTTGCTGTATTATACGTATCTTTTAGCATATTCTATTTATGATTTTATATATAATTGTGATATACTTTCTGAGAGTACTGTACATATGCATGTTCATAGAGCACTCATGCCATATCATATTGGGGTGTCATATCAACTACTTACTTTAATAATTTTACTATGATCAAATTGTTATCAGTAAAATTAAAGTAATTAATCAAATAAAATTTTACTTTACTTAATTATAAAGAGTAGCGCAAAATTTTAAAGAATTCACGCAAATATTGTACTAATTTTTCTAATTTCTGCTGACTAAAAATTATTTATTTGAACTATTTCGAAGTAACTATGTTTCATTTTTCACTAATGTCCTAATTAAGTTTCGAGTTATACGTTTAATATAATTTTTTTTTGGCCTTAATTAATGAACTTTCAAATATTCTATATAGTGAATGCTCAAAGCCCACATATTAATAAAAGAAATTGAAACATAGCTTTATTCTTTGACTTTATATAAGCAAATGGTGAAAATTTCAAGTTAATTTCACGTCTTAGCGATAAGTTGAATCATTTTAAAGATCGGGTTTAAAGCAATAGTCTTATTGTATAATGATAAATTGAAAATTCATTCAAATCGACGCAAGTCGATAGATCGAAAAGATGCTAAGCAGGGGAAGGTAACACTGTGATACCTACGAATAAACAAGACTGAGCTGGCACAATCAAGTTCAGGGGTAGTATTTCACGTAATCAGATTCAGGTGAGTATAATTTAATAACCTTCTGAATATAGTAATCATCAATCCAATAAAGCTCGCAGAAGAACAAAAACAAAGATACGGCGCCAACAATCGCCTCCTCGGCTGTAGGCCACAATTCGCAACCCGATCCCTCCCTCCTAAAAGAACCTGCCATTTTCATAATCGCATTCTCATAATCACATTTCATAATTATGACTGTGGAATATCATTTCATATGTTCATATTAACAGCCAGCCTGCATCATGCAGGCGGGAGACCACTGGCCAGCACCAAGCCGCACAAACTTACAGCTATTATCATAATTTCTGGAACACCTGCTCATTACCCGAAATCTTTTTGGTCGTTTGGTAAATCATCTAACTCTCCAGAAATTATATCATTGCCTTGGTCTGAAAGTCCGAAGACAGCAATGTAGTTTTCGGAAAGTTAGGTAATTTACCAAACAACCAAAAAGATTTCAGATAATGAGCAGGTGTCCTAGAAATTATGATAATAGCTGTAACTGCTTAAGGTGATTCCTGGTGCAAAATTGATTGCTATTTCCGGGTGCATCTCCCGTCTTAGTTTAATTACGCATAATTTACAACTAATATAAATGCATTCATCAAATAAAATTCGTCTCCAGTGTACCAGACCAGATTATTCCAATTCTGAACATGTGTGCAATGCTTTTCGAAACCATATGATTTCATTTGTGTAATGCAAAAATCTGCAATATGATAGTTATAGTTAGGGATGTTAAAAGTTTGGTAAATTTCGGTTCGGTTCGACTCGACTCCATAGAGTTGAGTTTTAATTTTGACTCAGTTCCGAGTTCGACTCGGGACCAGACTCACTATGTCATGTGAAAATTTTGATTTTTTTATTCATAAGTTAAGTTACATATACTAAAACTAATAATACATGTTTTTATTCATTCTAAAATACTAGCTTCTATCCAATTTTTTAAGCACAAGGAAGCTCTAGTAGTTTCTTCAAAAAGTCGGTTTCGTGTAAGACTAATTGTATATTTCGCAACGGAAAAGGCACATTCACATGGAACACTTGTAACTTGAATTGCGTAGTAATCTGCTGCGACAGATGCTAAAGTTGGAAATCGAGAAGAATGAAGCTTCCACCATGTTAGTAGATTTATGTTTGGTTCTGAGGGTAATGCAAGATAGGTGCTTATTTCATTCGTTAAATCTTTTGTTAAATTTTCTTTTGGTTTATTTTCATTTTTACTTGATTGAATTAATTCACGAAAACTATCTAATAAACTTCCTTGTTCAGGTGGCATG